CACAGCAATCCTCAAAGTCCATGTGTCCATTAAAGCATGGATAGGTTGCAATCTGTACCAGTGGAGGCTATTTCTACACCCTGAAATCACAGATCCTAGAAATACTGAAGTAGTGGAATTGGTGACAGAGAATTTGATTCTATTCCTAGTTCTCTATCACCACTTTTGCTGGAAAACCTGGGAGAAGTTCCTACATCATTTGATACTTCAGTGTCCCCATTCACAAAATGGAGCTAATAATGCCTGCCCTTACCAATGGGAGGAAAGATAAGAGAGAATCCTCATCAAGGAGCATTGAGTTCTTCAGAGGAAAAATGTTATGCAAATGCAAATAATTTATTATGATTACTGATTGCACACCTATTACATGCCTGGTCCAATTACAGTATCAAGTATAATGATTGCAATCTGTCAGACAGGCATTTGCAATAGGAGCCCTAAGAGAAAAGAGATAGGCTCTCTAGGAATAGGTAAATATGATGGTAGTAGAGACTACTCTGGTCATTTTTCTTTACCGGAATCTCTCAGCAACCTCCGCATCTACCATACCCCTCTTGTCACTATGGGCTAGCTTCCTGTAGATAAAAGCAGAAGACTGCTTGCTGCAATCAGCACTGCTTTAGAAAAAGAACTTTTGTTTCTTCCTCCAGGAAGGGAGTGAGGAGAGAGACAATGAAGAAAAAGAAAAAGAAGATGAAGAAGAAGATGATGATGATGGAGATGATGACAGGCTGCCTTTAGTGAGACTAGAAAAACCTCTTTTCGCGATGGATGATGGTAATAGTAATAGCTAGCATTTATATAGTGCCTGCTATGTGACAGGCACTGTGCTAAACACTTTACAAATATTATCTTCTTTGATCCTCACAATCCTGGGAAGTAGGTGCTGTTATTATCTTCATTCAGTCCAAAGTCACACAGCCAGTAAATGTCTGAGGCTGGATTTGAAATCAGGTCCTCCTGACTCTAGGCTCAGTGCTTTGTCCACTGTACCACCTAACTACCCCTAAAAAGACCTGCAGAAGAAAAGGAACAAAGATTTATTTTATGGTTTAATATTTTATTTTCCCCAATTACATGTAAAAACAATTATTTTACCTTTGTTTTCTAAAATTTTGAATTTCAAATTCTCTGCCTCTAGCTTCTCCCCTCCTCATTGAGAAGGCAAGCAATTTGATATAGGTTATACATGTGCAGTCATACAAAACATATTTCCACATTAATTATATTGTGAAAGAAAACACAGACCAAAAAAAAACAACCCAAGTAAAATAAGATAAAGCAAAGAAAAATTATGTTTCTATCTGCATCCAGACTTTTCATCAGTTCTTTCTCTGGAGGAGGAGAGCACTTTTCATCGTAAGTCCTTCAGAATTGTCTTGGATCATTGTATTGCTGAGAATAGCTAAGTCATTCACAGTTAATCATCATACAATATTGCTGTTACTGTGGGCAATGTTTTCCTGATTTTGTTCATTTCACTTTGCATTAGTTCATTCAAATCTTTCCAGATTTTTCTGAAAGCATCCTACTCATCATTTCTTGTAGCACAATATTATTCCATAACAATCACATAGAACAGCTTATTCAGCCATTTCCCAATTGATGGACATCCCTTCAATTTCCAATTCTTTGCCACCACTAAAAGGGTACTATAAATATTTTTGTACATATAGGTCCTTTTCCTTTTTGTTTTTTATCTCTTTGAGATACAAGCCTAGTAGTGGTATTGCTTGGTCGAAGGGTATGCATGGTTTTATAGCCCTTTGGCCATAGGAGCAAGTATTTATTAAGTGCTTCATTTGATCCTTACAATAACTCAGTGATAGTGTGACAAACGCATACTTGGCTAGCAACAGGGATGGATAGTACATCCTCCTCATGTAATATACAGTCAGCAAAGGCCCCCTAAAATCCAAAATATTCATAGCAGCACTTACTATGGTAGCAAAACACTGGGGAAAAATTGGGGCCCATCAGTTGGGAAAAGGCTGATCAAGTTATAATATGTGAATTATCACATCATAAGAAATTAATAAGAGGGAGAACTTGTATCATTTTATGTAGAATAATAAAACAGAATCAGGAGAATAATACACATACTGACTATAATAATGTAAATGAAAATGCCAAAAGAGCACTGAACTCATTAAATGTGATGACCAAAACTGGTACCTGAGGAGGGCTCCCAGAATCTCTGAGTTGGAAGAGATCTCAAGGACTATTAGTTCAACTCATACCTAAACAAAAACCCCTCCTCTCCAATGTACACAATAAATGGTCATCCAGACTTTTCATTAGGAAGTTTTCCCTTGTATAGAGCTAAAATCTGCCTCTCTGCAACTCCCACTCCAAATATCATTCTTCAAGAATTTGAAGTATTTAAAGACTGCTACTATGCCAGCCAGCTAGCCCATGTTGCTTCAACCTATTCTGATATGATACGGCATGAATTTGAGGCTCTTCACTGCCCCCTTATCCTCTACAAGTATTCCACTTCACCCACATACTTACTGAGACATGTAACCAATGTAACTTACTGAAACTGGACATTATGTTCTAGATGTGGCATGATAGGATCTTATTTAGTGGAACTATTACCACCCGACCATCCCCTGCAGCCCCAGATGGACTATGCCTCTCAATGCAGCTGGAGACCACATTAACTTTTTTGGCTGCTATATTACAATTTGGGAGATTCATACTGACCTCCCTGTCCTCTGAAAACTTCAGATCTTTTCCCATAGGAAATGCTGTCTAGCAGCACCTCTTTTTAACCTAAACTTGTAAAACTGGGTGATTGTTTTTTTTAACTAAAAATGTAGAATTTTATCATTATCACAGTTCATTTTCTTGGACTAGGCTGATTATTCTGTTCTGCCAAACTCTCTTTTTTTTAAATGAGAGTGTGGAATAAAATCTCTAAGGTTCTTTTCTGCTCTCAATCTATGATCCTATGACATTACTAGATGCTGATTCTCTCTCCCCATGTGTTAGCTAGCTGATATGAATGCCACCCATAGATCTTTCAAGTCACTGATAAAAAGTATTGAATAGCACATGACTAAGTATACATTCCCAAACCACTCCACTAGAAACCTCCTTCCATGTTGATGTCTAGGCATTTGTAACCCAAATTGCTACTATGCTACTAAACATACAACCATATATTTTATCACACATTAATGACAACTCTTTGGGACTGACCATCCAACAAATTTCATATTCATCTATCTGTAATATCTGGGCAGCTAGGTGGCACAGTGGATAGAGTGCCAGGCTTGAAGTCAGGAAGACTCATCTTCTTGAGTTCAAATCTAGCCTCAGGCATTTACTAGCTGTGTGACCCTAAGCAAGTCACTTTACCCTGTCTCAGTTTCCTCATCCGTAAAATGAGCTGGAGAAGGAAATAGCACACCACTCCAGTATCTTTGCCAAGAAAACCCCAGTTGGGATCATTGAACAACAACAATATCTGTACTGTTGTCTAATCCACACTTCAAACTGAGTGATGGAAGTAGGAATAGAGGGGAAGGGAAGGAAGGACAAGACAATGTTACGGTGATGGGATTAGTGGGACTTATAAAATTATGGCAAAATGTTTAGGTGATTTCATTTACCTATATCATTCAAAGAGTAGAAGGCCAAAGAGAGCTCAACCAACTCCCAGAGTCTAGACCTTACTAGTCAGTAAATAACAATGTATTAAGCATCCACCACAAAGCCAGGCATCATGCTAAGTGCTGGGAATACAAATACAAAAAGAAAGTCCTTTCCCTCAGGAAACTTACCATCTAATGGGGGAAGACAAAAAGGAAGCTGAAAAAAGGGGGATAGAGAAGATACCTGGTATAGGGGAAGGATAGAGAAGTTCAGAGGAGTGCGAATGAAGAGATGAATGAAGAGTGCGACCTGGGCCTCTTCCTCAAATGGAGGATCTGGGAGGAGCTTACCATGTTCCAGTCGGGGAGAGGCCCCAGGAGCAGAAGGTTTAGATGAAGTGTGAATTTCAGGGCTGAAGTGCACTTGTGAAATGAAGATATTCCTGAGTCGTGATGGAAAAAGCCAGAGGAGAGCAGCTGGGAATCAAGAAAGGGAATTCTTTAGAGATGGTGTGGAGGGAAATAAAAAGAGATAGCTGTCCTCTAAAGATACTTAGCTTGTGGTTGACTGGAAAGAGAAGAGGGAGAGGTTGTGGTGGGGGGGGGGGAGGTGGAGTCATTCTGACTCTATGCTGAGTCAGGGAGGCATCATTCCATCCTGGTATGAGAGGACCAAGTGGTCCTTCAAGTTCTATTGGGAAAGAATAGAGCTGTCTCATTCTGAAGTGTAACAACACAAATCTCCAGAAGCCACCACATGCCATCCATTGGAATGTATTTCACTTCCATAAGGAATTACATCCACTCTGCAAACTAAACTTAAAAACAGGAAACAAAGAAATGTTTATATACATATATATATATATATACACACACATACATATGTATATGTGTGTGTGTGCACAAAAAAAGAAATTGTATACACACAATATGTGTGATTTTTATATGTGTATGTATATAGTTATAAACATACACACACACACATATATACACACATGTATGTGTGTGTGTGTGTGTATAAATTTCATAGAATGTCAGAGCTGGAAGGAACCTTAGAAGAGATGAAGGTGAAGGTTGGGACACTGGAAGCCAGATGTTGCATAAACTAAGAGATGAGGTATCAGAGTCAGTTGGTTTTGCTTAACTGGTTTTCTTTATGTAGGAGGGTGTAGTAATGATTTCCTAATAGGCTGAAGAGCCAGAAGAATTGAAGACTCAGGTTTTTGAGTTGTAATTGAATAAGTAAACAAAAGAGGAAGCCTGCCCTTACATCTTTTTTCTTTCTTTAAGGTTGTGAGGAGACAAGACTATTTAGAACTCTTGGGAGTCTTCTGGGAAAGGGACTATAGTTTTGTTTCCCATCTACCTATAGAATCTGGCTGTGAACATATGGCCATCTCAGTCTCTTTGTGCTTATTCTTTCCTGATCTTAATGAATGAGTATTAGAAATGGAAGTGCCCAAGAAACCTTGTGAGTTTGAGATCCATAGATTCTACTGACAACCAGAAATGGTAAGCAGTCATTGGAGTGGTGGTGGCTGACAGGAATGGGAGCAGCAGCAGCAGACAGATATGGAAAGATTTGAGGATAGTGGTGGCTTCAGGGCAAGTGACCCTTGAAGAGAGTCTTGAGAAGACATGAGGATGGTGCTGGCTATGGAATCAAGAAGGGCAAGGATCTCTGGACTCCAGCTGGGCTGCTCAGCTAGCAGGGAGCTACACCTAGGGAAACATGGGGAGGACATGATATAAGGAGAAAAGGTCTCCCAGTATTGTCTCATTTGTTACCTTTGTACTTTAAACTGGAACCCAGGCTCCTCAGGGACCATGTGTGTAGTGTATAGGTATAAACACACACACACACACATACGTGTATATATATGTGTGTGTATATGTATAAATTTCATAGAATGTCAGAGCTGGAAGGAACCTTAGAAGAGATGAAGGTGAAGGTTGGGACACTGAATGTCAGATGTTGCATAAACTAAGAAATGAGGTATCAGAGTCAGTTGGTTTCGCTTAACTGGTTTTCTTTATGTAGGAGTGTGATATTTATACCAAGGGAGGATCCTATGGTATTAGGTAGGGGAGATATATCAAAAAAAGTCCTGATTTGGAGAGTTAGGTATTTTGTAACAATTGTTCCTACTATAATATTTCAGTATTGAAAATTGTTTGGCTGTTAATGGGAATTGTTAATGGGAAGTAAACTACCGGGGACTTATGATCAACAATGCTAAAAATTCCAGCCATTCAGAATTACTCACTGGAATGGTGAAAATAAATAACCTCTTGTTAGGGACCTGGCCCATCCTGCAACTGGGAACTGGGGAAGCAGTCTTAGAGGAGGTGCTATATTTTAAATTGGAAGGAAAAGAAATTATAGTTACTATCACAGCTTGGACTAACTAGCTGTGTGACCTTGGGTAAGTCACTCCTCTCTCTTGGGCTCAGTTGTCTCATCTATTAAATGAAGGGGGGGTAGACTAAATGACCTCTGAGGTCTGGCTCTAACATTCTATGAGTTTATGAAACCATTTACTACACAACCTTGATGAGCAATTTTAATAGATATAATGGGCAGTCTTTGCCCTCTGGGTACAGATGACAACAATGACACATAAGGGCAGATAGACAACCAGAATAAAACTGAACTCAATAAAAACTATGAATAACCAAGAATGTAAACCTGTGACGAATGGGCAAAGAGTGGGAGTGCTGAGCAGAGAGTCATGGGAATTACATATTGAAATACAATAGGGTTAAAGGAAGATCACCAATTCTGTTCTAATTAATCATTGAAGATTTCAAGGAAATAATGTGATGTCACTGATCCCTCCAAAAGCTCCTTTAAATTTCATTTGTATTGATACACATCAATCCTGAATTAACATGTATTTTCTTTTGCATTCTGACATAATAGTTTGCATAGCTTTAAAGGTATTTTTTCCTCTGGTTTCTTCTCTTCTTCCTTCAGAGGCTTTTTTTTTTGACAACTCCTCTCTATAATCTTTGCTATCCCTTCCTCTTCCTCACCCTACAACCATGTGGGCACACTTCCTGGTGACCAGTGTTCCAAAGCACCATTTTAGTCCTTGCTTGGAAGATTTTTTTTTTTAAAGTTACTGACCAACGTGAAATCCCTGAATGATTCAAGACTCTAAGATAGCTTCTCTCAGGTGGCCTCCCTAAAGGGGAAATAAGAAAAAAAACAGCACAGGTTATATACCTGTCTCCTCCTTCTTTTTTTTTTTTTTTTGGTGAGGCAATCAGGGTTAAGTGAGTTGCCCAGGATCACACAGCTAGTAAGTTTCAAGTGTCTGAGGCCAGATTTGAACTCAAGTCCTCCTGATTCCAAGGCCAGAGCTCTATTTACTGTACCATCTAGCTGACCCCTTCTTCTTCTCCTTCTTCTTCATCACTAATATTTACATAGCATTTTGTGGTCACAAAGTACTTTCACATCCATCCACCCATTTGGTCTTCGTGTAGTAGGGGAAATATGCAATGAGTTTCATCTCTGTGTGAGCTGAGGGTTCCCAAAAGAGAAACTAAGTCAGCAAGACACTGGAAGTGGGAGTGCCCAGTGAATGAGGGCTAAAGTTAGTGAGAGGAGAGAAAGGGAGAAAGAAAGAAGGGAAGGACAAAATTTTATTTGTGGGTCCATGAATCATCCCTTCCTCTTTGCCTCTGCCTTCCTTAGGACTTGAGAAAGACTTCAGGCCTACCATGTCAGTGCCAGGGGCAGATAAAAAATAAAAGGGAATTTCCAGGACATCATGTAGCCACTACTAGTCAGCCTTGGCAGCTGGTTGCTACTGCTGGTCACAGGCTGCCCCTGCGGCTTAAGTCAAGAGTGAAAAATTTGAGACAGACCCTGGAAATCAGGACTGCAGAAGCAGAGAACCAGGGGAAGAGATGAAACTGAAGGGATTATAGACTATTTGGAGGAGTTCGGATAGAGTGGGACCGGACTGACAACTGCTTATTGCTAAGAATGCCAGTGACCAAACCTCCCCTTGGTACTTTATCTTTATTTCAGGACCCAGAGTTACATCTTGGTAACAGCAGTGCTTCACCCTCTGTAGCTTAGAATGTGGAAGGAGGGATTTGAAACAATTGATCAAATGAGATAATATTTATAAAGTGCTTGGCACATTGCCTGGTACATAGTAGGTATTTAATAAATGCTTATCCCTCCAATTGAGTGAGCAACTTGAAGGGGAAAGTGCTTAACCGTCTTCTCTGACATTTTAAGCCATATGACCACTGAACATTGCTCGCCCATAGAAAATAAATATATAGGTTCAAGACCTACCTAGGAAGTATCTCAGATGCAGTTTGGGGTTTGGAGTTGGGGAGGAAGCCATAGACTTAACGATAGTTTTCCAATAATTCAGAGATATATTTCATCATGATTTCCCTAGTTTAGACTCAGAGCTCACTAGTAGGGGTTTCCTTACTGCCAAATCTCTTGAAACACATAACTTTCTCGAGTAGGTGGCTGCCACATATGCACAGAGAGACCATTCTACACATTTGTCAAGAGAGACCTTGGGTTGGTGGTTTTAATATATTGCCACCTGGTGGTCACATTGAAAAGTACACTCCCTCATTTTTCAAATATATAGGGAAGAGAACCAAATTTTAAAAAAATAGGAGCCATTCCCCAATTGATAAATGATGAAAAGGATATGAAGAGCCAGTTTTCAGAAGAATTCAAAGCTATCAACATTCATATGAAAAAGTGCTCTAAATCACTATTGATTGGAGAAACACAAATTAAAACGACTCTGAAGTATCACCTTATACCTAGCAGATTGCCTAACATGACAGAAAAAGAAAATGATAATGCTGAAGGGGGTGTGGAAAAATGGGTACACTAATGCACTGTTGGAATTGTGAACTGGTCCAACCATTCTGAAGAACAATTTGGAACTATGCCCAAAGGGATATTAAATTGTGTACACCCTTTGACCCAGCAATACCTCTACTAGGTCTATGTCTCAAAGGAATAAAAGAAGAGGAAAAAGACTTATATATACAAAAATATTTATAGCAGTTCTTTTTGTGGATGTGATGATGATGGAATACTATTGTGCTATAGCAAATGATAGGGGGGATGGTTTCAGGAAAACCTTGGAAGACTTATATGTAATGCAAAGTGAAGTGAACAGAACCAGGAGAACATTGTATACAGTAACAGCAACATTTTAAGGATGATCATCTGTGAAAGACTTAGTTACTCTCATCGAGGCAATGATCCAGGACAATTCCAAAAGACTCATGATGAAAAATACTATCCATTTCCAGAGAGAGAACTGATGAACTCTGAGTGCAGATTGAAGCATATTTTCTTTACTTTCTTTACGCTACTTGCTTTTTATTGTTTTTTTTTCAACATGGTTAATATGGAAATGCTTTGTATGAGTTCACATGTACAACTGATATCATATTGCTTGTCTTCTTAATGGTAGGTGCAAAAAGGAGGGAGAGAATTTGGAACTCAAAATTTTAATAACTACACTCCTTTGCTGATTAATTGTAAAGTCATGCCCTGTCTTCTTGTGGGTTTAAGGAAGGAAGAACGTGAGCCAGTATGAACTGCCTATTGCTAATACAGTACCTCAGGTGTCACCTGGGATAACCAACGAGTGCCCATGCATCCTGCTCCACTGACAGCAACCCTGTGAGATAAGTGGTACAAGTATTACTACCTACTATGTTAGAGGACAGGAAACTGAAGCTCAGAAATGTTAATGAATTTTTTAATGACTTTTCCTAGGTCAGCTACAGCTAGTAGAGCTAAGAATCAAACCCAAGTCTATTGATTCCAAGTCCTATATTCTTTCTCATCAATTGTTCTTACACCCTGTGTTCTTATATATCAATTCCCCTCGTAGCCAACTCACGTATGACATTGGAATTCTTGCCTTTAGAAACAGAATTTTTAAAAAATATATAACATGGGTTCTATATGACTCTAGAACCCTTTGCTACCCTGAGTTCCTTCCATCCAGTGTATTCATTTCAACAGACCAGAAAAAGAACAATAAAGCAAGGGTAACATGGCAGAAGTTTTGCAAAATATTTACTTCCAAAGTACCCTCAGAAATATACAAATATACTCCCCCCCAACAAATGAGAGGCATAATCCTACTCCCCCTCTGCAACACTTCAGTCACTGGGCAGAGGAAGGGGATTAGGTTCATAGTTTAGCTTAGTTCACTTAGAGCACAGCCCCATTCCAAGTCCAAAACCCTCCTTGGGCTCCTTGAGTCCCAGGCACCCTGGCTTCTCAGGGTTTTTATGCCACTCTGACTGGCTAAGCCACTCCACCTGCAGTCCTGGTTCCAAAGTTGACATGGCCCAACTCCTAGTTCAGTGGGGATTACCTTTGACACCTCAAACTGAGGATAAACAACAAAGAGCTGAAAGAAACACCCCCAGGTCCATTTCTCAGAGCTGGGGTAAAAGAAAAGTAAGCAAGGGAAGACAAGTCCCTTCCCTGTTTCGGTCAAACAGACAGCCAATCAAGGAGACTACCCTACCCAAGAGGTAGGGAATGCTGCAGCTCCACATGACGCAAACTGTGCATGCTCAAAAGCCAGCTTGCACAAGACTTAATCAAGACAGATAACTAAAGAAATCAGCAAGGGGAAATTAAACAGTGAACTCATAAAACAGTCAAGTCAGGAAGAATTTATTAAAAGCTTAGGCAGTGTGCTAAGCAATGGGGATACAAATAGGAACAGAAGGAAAGATAATCTCTGCCCTCAAGGAATTTATATTCTAATGTGAGAAGAAGGAGGCTGGAAAAGGTGGGGAGGGGAACAAGAGATGAAGGTCCCTACTGGGGCATGGTCGAGAAAGTCTGGAGAATCAGGATACAGGCTGGATAGGAAAGAAGATGTGTCTGGCCTGGGTCTCCTCCTTGAAATGCAGGGTCTGGGGAGGAACTAGCCAATCAGAGGGAGAGGCCAGAAGGGATATTCAAGGTGAGCTTCCATGGTGAAGAGGTTTCTCTGGCATAGTAGAGAGAATCAGGAGTGAGCCTAGGCTGAAGAGAACTGATGACAGTCCTCTCTGACAATTTACACCCCCAGATGACTCATGCTTCTAGGGTGGGGCTGTGGCTTGAACACTTCTCATGATACCCTCTTCCAGCAACTGGCTATTTCTCATTGCTGCTTGAGTCCATCTCTACAGCTGCCTTTTGCTTCTTCATCACCAAGCTATAGATACCATCTTTCAGAATGGCCATCTTCTGAAACTTTTAGAGTTACATTTGCTTCTGGGGCTTCCTCCCAAAGAAAGTGGCATCTTTCTTTGGTGAGACCTCCCCCAGCCAACCAGCCTGGGGCTTAACCAGCACATTTTCAGCCCTAATGTTAGTCAGGTTCACAACCACACACAGCCAAAAAGGAATTTCAAGATTTTTTTTTTAATTCAACCTCACCTACTCCCACTGAAGGGCAAGTACCCTAGGACTTTTTATGATTCTGCTTAGGTCAGAGTGAATGAATTTCTTTCAACTCCCATCATGTTCTTAACATCTGGCACCACTTCTATTTTTATCCTGAGGCTTTGATAAGTCTCAAAGAGGCATTCAGTAACAAAAAAAAAGGCACAAAATTGAGCAGGTGGGCTTTGCCCAGCTTTTCTGCCACTTTGGCAAAGGTCTCTGTCCTCCTCACACCTGTTATACATAACTTTAAAAAAAAAATAGTAATGCCAGTTTTAGTTCCAATTTCTCCATGAAGTCTTTGCCCAAATTAATCTTTATTCTGCTTTCCACAGTTATTATTTGCAGTTACAAAATGCAAAAGCTATCCACATCCAGAGAAAGAGCTATGAAGTTTGAATGCAGATTGAAGCATACTATTTGCTCTTTTTTTTTCTTCTGTTTTGTTTTGTTTCTTTTTTTCTTGTAGTTCGTCCTATTGGTTCTAGTTCTTTACAACATGATTAATGTGAAAATATGTTTAATAGGAATGTATATGTAGAGCCTATATCAGATTGTACACCTCTTGTGGAGGGAGGCGGATAGGGAGGAGAAGAAAATTTGGAACTCAAAAACTTATGGAAGTGAATGTTGAAAACTAAAAATAAATAAGTATTTAAAAAAAAGAAATAGGGAGGCTTTGTAGAGGGGCAGGTTTGGGGGAAAATATAAAATGTTCTGTTATGGATTTTAAAAAATGCAAAAGCTTAGTTCTGATACAAATGTTAGTACCATGCTCTAAGAACCACAAATGGGGAGCAAGCTCAAATGATCAAGGTTGTTGTTGTTTTTGTTGCTTGTTGCAAATAACTTCTGATGGCTTTTATTTGTGTCACCATCATTTCTAAACATATCCCTCTCTACCCCACTACCCAGTGAGCCGTCCCCTATAGCAATTTAAAAAGAAAGAAACAATATAGTTCAGCAAAACTACCCACCAAAAAAACCCCTGAGATTCAGAGTTATATATAATATTCCACACCTATAATGCCTTGCTTCTGTAAAGAAGAAATGGAGATATATTTTCTTATATCTTTTTCAGAGCCAAGCTTTAATGGTCATTGAAATTGAAGTTCTGGTCTTTTGTCCTTTTCATTTCTATCATTGTAGTTACTGTATATTTTATTTTCCTGATTCTTTTTACATCACTTGCATCAGTTCATATCTATTCCCATGCTTCTCTGAATTCTTCACATGAATCATTTCTTAGGGTGTGGTTCCCTTACATTCATGTACCACAATTTGTTTCGCCACTCCCCAGTCACTGGACATCTAGTTTGTTTACAATTCTTGGCTATCACAAAAAGTACCCTTGGGAGAGTTTTGAAAGGCGGTGCTACACTGATTTCACATCTTCAGAATTATTTATTCCCTATACTGGTACACACTAGATGTGGGTCAGTAACAACACAAGGCATATCCTGGACCAACATATCTATGAACTCTCCCTACACATCATAGTGATTGATAACACAATGGAGGGGGGACCCCAAGATCAAAAATACTGGTATCATCTCTAAGCTTTAAACAATTCTTTCTCCTCTGTACTCACAATACTGCCTCAATATGCACTTCATCACCAAACTCTCCCCACTAGGGGTGGTCTCCACCTGCCACCAAACCATTTGAGTACTAGCAGCATTCCTACTACCGGGCATCATTAAGTTCTTAAGAAAATAGTTTCTGGTTCTTTTTAATTGTCTCTCCACTCTTATCTTGTCACCTCAAAGTCCCATAGCACCCCACTGTCTCTATTATCTTGATATATCAGGGTTGTTGTATCAACCAAAAAAACCAAAACCAAACCAAAACAAAACAATCTTGTTCAATTTAATGAGCACTTCAGTCAATCTGATAAGAATATAGGGTGTAGACCTTTGTCCACACAAAGGTGGGTACTTTCCTTGTTGGAGAGTGAATATCTGTTTGATCTAGGAACTGGGACTACATCAAAGATGACTGACAATTGAAAATTGGCCGGTGGGGGGTGGAGAGGAACTTGTGAGACGAATTTGTTTTATGTTGGCTAGGCTGGTTTCTCTTTAAAAGGGCAAAGAGGCTATCTTTGGGATTTCATCGGTCTGGGGGATCAGGGTCGAAGCATGGCTTTCTGGTTGCTTCAGGTATAAAAAGCCCAGCATCTGAGGCATGAGTGATCTTTAGACTTGATGGAATCCTCACTTCTATGTGAGTCTACTTGTCCTTCTGACTGCACAATGTTGGCAAGATATATTCAGAGGAGAAGGGGGGCATCATCTGCCTGAATCAGTGATTACATTCTTTCAAAACCTTTTATTAAGTAAATTTCTCCTTGGTGAATTTTAAGAGTGTTTCATTGCATTTTAATCCTGCACCCGATGCACTAGATTGGTCTAAGTCTGGCCCAGAATACTGATATCAGATAGCAAAACTGAGTTGGGATGACTTTGTGATAGACTTCATGGTTTAAGGGTGTGGGGGGTTCAGGGGAGGGAAGAGAGGTTCAGAAGAAAAGTGATTGGATGCCCTGTGGTTACTGTGCTCTTACTGTACATGGTGGATCCTCTTATTGGACAAGAAGGGACCCCTACTGACCCCATGGGATTAGCCTGATGGATGCTAAGGGGGTTGACAGGGTATCATAAGTTGAAAAGTATCATAAGGGCTAATATTCTTTGATTCTTATTAATGACCAGAAAAGCTGGATTGCCAGTATAAGGAAAATTGCCAGTATAAGGATTGTCAGTATAGGGAAATGAAACGAAATGAAATGAAAAATAAACTGGTGAATGAAATGAAAATAAATTGTCTTTATGTGTTCAGTACAAAGACAAATACGGATGAGCTTATTGTTTTTAAGGATCATGACTTGAAGGCAGAAGAAGAACTTTGGATTTAGTAATAACACCGGCGAAAGGGGTGATGTTGATAGAGGTGGCACAGTGGGTGAAGTGCTGGGCCTGGAGTCAGGCCCATCAAATCCAGTCATAAATACTTACTAGCCTTGTGACGCTGAACAAGTGATTTAGACCTCTGTCTGCCTCAGTTTCCTCATCTGTAAACTAGGGATAATAATGGTATCTACCCCTCAGGGTTGTTGTAAGGATCAAATGAGCTAATATTTGTAAAGCCCTTAGCATAGTACCTGGCACATAGGAGGCACTTAATACATGCTTCTCTTCTTCCCCTTGTCTCTCCTTTGTGTTTAATTGTCAGGACCCAGAACTATATCACTTCTCTTGCAGTCTCTTGAATGGGCAGCTGAATGACAGGATGAGGGGGTGCAACAAGGATGTGGAAAGGTAAAATACAAAAATGTAATGGCTGATTTTGCAAATAAACAGAACTCTCACTGAACTTTAAGAAAAAGAGAAGGAAGGAAGGAAAGGGTCAAGGTCCAGTGGGTGGAGAGAAAATGTGTCAATACAGGACATTTAGAGGGATAGAAAGCCAAAAGCTGAAATGAAAAGCCCAGAGCCTAATGTCTGGTCAACTTAGGATAAGGTGATTCCTATCAGAAGGAAAAATGTGTCTCTGTGTGTGTTTCCATGCATGCACAGAGACCTATTAGTATTTCTCTGGTCCTCTGTATGTACCTGTGGCTACATTTTTTGCTGCATAATTGTTTAGGAAGAATGTCACATGGGGAAATTGGTGTCCACCTTGAAATCATAGTGGGAAGGAGATTAGAAACCTAGATGTAAGCTCTGGATCACAATGTTCATTGTCAGGTCCCTACATGGCTGGCTCTGATAAGGTAGCTTGAAATTGATCAGAACTTCCTTGAAGAAGAGGAGGAAGTTGGGGCCAATGCTGAGAGATCAGGCAGGGAACATAGGCCAGTAGTGGGGAGAAAAAACACAGGGAAGGGCTATCATTTCTAATCTATTTTGCCTCTCTCTGAAGTTGAAAACTCAGGAAAGAAGATTCCCTGATAGAGACAGTAGGGAAAACAAAGGCTCTTTATATGATTGTAAAGGCAGGAAGTAGAAAAAGGGGAAGAGGGAGGAGTTGGGAGTGGTTTCTGAAGTTCAGTTATTTGGGAGTTCTGGAAACAGAGAGGTTGGGAACAGTTCTAATCTGGGCAGCTGGGTGGCACAGAGTATAGAGTGCTGGGCCTGGAGTCAGGAAGACCCTGAGTTTAAATGGGGCCTCAGACACTTACTAGCTGTGTGACCTTGGGCAAGTCACTTAACCCATTTCTGCCTCCATTTCCTCATTTGTAAAATAGGGATAATAATAAAAAAACTCCCAGGGTTGTTGAGAGGATCAAATGAGATAATAATTTTAAAGTGCTTAGCACAATGCCTGGCACATAGTAGGTGCTATATAAATATTGTTATTTTTATTATAACTTTATTTGATTTGCAACTTATTAAATTCAACCTTGATTATTTCCTTAATCTCTCCCTCTCTTTCTCTCTCTTTCTCTCTCTCTTCCCCTCCTTCCCTCCCCCTCCCCCATCTGTTGTCCCTTGTGTACTATTTATTATAAAAAAAATATAAGGTTAGGTATATGGGCCATATAAACATGAAATACTGAGAGGAATAAAACTGTCTAGTGGTTAAGGAAGCCCAGTCAAGGGACTTAAGGTAAAAAAAAAAATAGCATCAAAAAAGCGTATCTTCTATTAAACATTTCCTAAGAAGCATCTGCTGGTGAAAGGCCGTGCCCTAGGTGGTCAGCTACAAAGAGAGATGGACATAGGCTTTTCTCTCAAGGAGTTTAAATTGAATTGTGGAGAAGGGAGACAAGAGACAAAAATATGATGATATGAAAGCTAGTGGAATAAGTACAAATGTAAGATCTAGGAAAAGTCATGTGAGAAATTTGAAGGAGAGACCACTGTCATTAAGGATGGTCAGGAAAGGCATTTTGGAAGAAGTAGTTTCCTAGTTGAGGCTTGAAAGGAGGGAGGGACTTCAATAGCTGGGGACTTGAGGAGAGAACCATTTCTGGCTTGGAGGATGGCTCAAAGTAGGCATGGAGAAGCAAGAAGGCAGGATGAAAATATGGGATGGAGAGTAGTCCACTTTGGCTAGAATTCAAAATATGTCCAGGGAAATAGTATGCAATAAAGCTAGGCAGGAAGGTTGTAGCCAGATCGTAGAGGATTCTGATTGCCAGAATTAGGAACTTATACTTAATTTTGTAGACAATTAAATTCAACAAGTATTTATTAAATGCCTACTTTGTGCCAGGCACGATGCTAGATACAGGAGATACAAAAGATAGCTAGGTGGCTCAGTGGCTAGAGCACCCGCCTTGGATTCAGGAGGACCTGAGTTCAAATACGGCCTTAGACCTTAACCCCATTGCCTAGCAAAAACAAAAAAAAGACAAACATGGAACAGTGTCTGCCCTCAAAAAATGATATTTTGTGGGAGGCAATGGAGAGTCATTAAAGGGTTTTGAGTAGAGGGCTGATGTGGTCATAGTGATGAGTTGGGAAAATTACTGAGGCAATTCTGAGGATCCTAGAGGTTGAGGAGACTAAAGATATACTGGAAGTAGGAAGACCAGTTTTTATAATAGCCTTGGAGTCAAGAGATGAAAGACTGAATTAAGCATGATTGCAGTGGGACTAGAGAGGAGGTGGCAAAAGGAAGGGAGACGGTGAAAATATTAAAGGTAGGATATGATATTTCATTGCATGTGTTAGGAGAGGAAAATGGAGGAGTCAAAGCTGACTCTAAAGTTACGAACCTGGAAACATTTTCATGTTTTCCCATTAATCCTCCATTGAGGACCTAACAATTGTGCTAGATAATACAGTGATCCAAGACAATCCCAAAGGGCTCATGATGAAGCATGCTGCCTCCAGAAAAAGAATTGACATTGACTGAATACAGACTGAAGCATGCTGTCTTTTTCTTTCTTTCTTTCTTTCTTTCTTTCTTTCTTTCTTT